CACTCTTAGAAAATTCCTAGCGTTTGGGGAGTAAAAAGCGAGCGCACCATGAACTTTTCGAATTTACTCTCTTATTACTCACCAAATGCTCCCTCATCGCTCGTACTGAAGTGAACACCTTGAAGTTCTTCGCCAGGCCCCTAGATGGAGGTAAGGGTCTCGCTTTTCGCACAGTACACAAAAGTGCCCTTCCCTCTTTCCCTGGAATCGTCCCTCGCAGGATTGTTTAGTACCTTGCCGTATGTCTCGCCTAGTCTCATTATAGGAATCAATAAACACGAACACTTCATCATTTGTTATCCACATATTCAAGACATATTCNATGAGGGAGCATTTGGTGAGTAATAAGAGAGTAAATTCGAAAAGTTCATGGTGCGCTCGCTTTTTACTCCCCAAACGCTAGGAATTTTCTAAGAGTGTAGAGACTTTTTGAAGTGCGAATGAAGGGTCCCTCGACGAGTCCCCGCCACGAACATCATAGAGCTGGACGGGGCTCGACACGAAGAGAGGAAGCGAGTGGGGATAAATCAGTGCGGCGCTATTTTCATTCCACGGCGACGATGGGAGTCTGGACTCTGGCCTTGATTTATAATCTCCATTTACCCCGAGAGAAAGAGGAAGAAAGGCGGTCTTTCTTGATATTTCTCGTTTACATTGGACCGAATATCTATCCCTTTCTCTGGGATCGTCTTTCTTCGGAGGGGAAGATTGGCATGGGAATGGGATATATTGGAAGGAGCAAACCTTATTCCTATTGTGTACGCTAATCTTTCTTCTTTGGTCTCGAGCCTCTTTTTTCTTTCTGGGTTTTGTGATTTTTCGGAACGACCACCAGCAGGATGAGATAATCACACTCGAAGGGCTAAAAGCAGAATTTTTCGACGTCGCCTCTTTTTTCGAGCTGGAGTTATTGCTGTTACACTTCCCATGTTTCATGTGCAACGGGAACATCTTGGCGAGTATGAAAAGGGTTGCCTCAAATGAAAGGGGTTGCCTCAAATGAAGGAGATTGCCTCATGAGGCTTCAATGCTCCTTACTGCAATGCTGGTTATGGACATCTCACATTTTCAATTCCACACTCTCGAAGTGAGAATTTGGTGGCGAAGTTACCATGAAGTAACGAAGCTTCGAGTTAATGAAAATATACGATGAATTGATGAGATGGACTTGATGAATCCTATCGCACCAGCCGTGCCGTGCAAACACTCGCGATCAAAGAGATGATGCCCGATAGCCGGCACGTGCAACGTAAGGCAAAGTTACGGCTGGAACTTTTCGATTCTTACAGATTTGGATCGGTAAAAGTTGATTTCTTGAAAAGTCTTATTTTTCCAACCGTCTCGTTCTCTCGAGTCTTGGATTAGGGCTTGGGAACTTCGCCGTTTTTTCTCCATTTTAGATTTCACAAGGAATCTATAAATAAATACAAATTAATCCAACACAGCATTAATTTATGTCTATTTACATGGAGTATGCGTGGTAATATGAAAATAAATTTTTATGGATGGAAGTGAGAAGCTCCTACTAGATAAAAAAAAGCGAAAAAGTGGAGACTTATCGTAGTCTTCCAGGGATGCGATAGACAATGTGATTTCCACGAAAGGAGTCTTTCCTTGCTTTCGGGTTTCCATGTCAATATAGTGGTGAGAGTTCCGAGAGGTTTAGGAGAGAGATCTATTTTACACGAATTTATAATATGCCTTTTGCTATTTGTTTTTAGATGGTTCGTAAGTCATTTCGGCGCATTTTCCCTTGTTTTTCGAAACGGTAAATGAATATGGGCGAAACGCGATGATAGATCCGCGTTCTAGATGAATATTCGGCGAGAAGGAGAAGGTGTTCGGCAGATTTTCCGAAAATAAACATCTTCGGTATCACGTACTTCTATTTCGGCATTCATCCTAGTATTTCATTAATCGGAAGAGGAATACAGAAAATGGAAGGTCGGTGATAAAAATTCGTGCTGGATTTGTGTTTAGTGACATTCATGAATGATAAGCTAATCGTCATCAGCGTCATCGGGGAGCTTTAGACCTCTTGTGATCTCTAAAATGTGATTGTAATTCATTTTTGCTACGTTTTTCCTTCGTTTCACAACGGAGAGGGAAAATAGCTGTGCGGAAATCGGCGGTCAGGACGAACTTTCCTCACGCAGAGGATGGCGTTCGGCAGGCTTTGCACATGGGAGAAACATTTTTTGCACTCCTGTACCCGAATTTCAGCGTATCTCCCGATATTTGGTGGTTTGGAAGACACAAAATCAATAATCGGTGATTGAAATTCATCCAGAAAATTGGATTTCGGCACAAACTAAGAAATTCTGCACTTAGGTACATTTTTCAGCCGGATCGTCCATCCAAAATGAAGCAGCCGTGAAATCGCAAACATATTTCGGCTTGCGCTTATGTTGAGCGAAACTAAGGATTGGTAATAGCCCGTTTAAAACTTTGAGAGACGCTTCTCAATATTATAGAGAGGTTTGTTCACTGTTCACCGATTGGGGGTGGAACTTTAGGCCTTTAAGGCAGTCCTTTAGGTTCTGATTGATTGCAAAATGAAAATCCATTCTGATTCCCCCGGTAGGAACGTTTCATTACAGTTTCCCCGAAAATGCCTCAATTTTGCACTAGCAATTCACTCTACAGCGGAACATTCTGCGAGTGAAGCTCCCTGAATTCATTTGCAAATGCTTAAACTTCATTTCTGCACTCCGATCCCAAGTTTTTGGGGGAAATGTATCCGCCAACAAATTCCAGATTCATCCCACCGCATCCCACATTCAGTTCCACGTCGGAAAGTAATGGAGAGGATGTTTCCTTCGGAACGCCGAAAATGACATTCCATTGCCTAAATCGTATTTCTTCTGATGCAACCGATCCCTCATGGAAGATAACATATATCGTTTTGCCAGTAATGCGGTCACTTTTCACCGATTCTTCTGCCGACATCCTTCGACTACGGAATGCCGAAAATGACATTAAACCTCCAAGAGGTTTCCACTCCAAAAGGTAGAGTGACAGCACTTTTTTCACTGGAGACTCGATTGTAGACTGATTTGAAAGCCTTTCCTGCAGTCCATTAGGTTTTCCTCACCACAGTAATGAAATAGCCCTCCCCGTTCCTCTCGAATGAATGCCACATAATGGTCCTCGGAGAAGTCCCAAACTTGCACCGACGATCCACTAGAGCAAATAATGCTAGTTCTAGTCATTGCTATTTCACTCCAAATTGCTTCGACTTCATTTTTAAAATCCTATACTGGGATTTCGAAGGAAACTTGTTCGTCGGGCCTCTTCCCTCTCTTCAACTCCTTCCCGCTTAAAAAATCCCCTTATTCGTAATCCCCATTGGGAGCATTAGGAATGAAACGAGAATGCTCGAAACTCCCTGAGCACCGAATCACTCCAGAAAATTTGAAGCTCCTTCTCCTCGGGGATTCGAGAAAACAGGATCTCATCGTGAATTTCATTTTGAGATCTCTTTTCTTTTCTTCCTGCCATTCAATCCATACCTGAGGGATTTTCTGAGAGGTGTCACGACAAAAAGGGTATGGAGTGGTGTCCCACTCTAAAAGCTGGTGAAACATAAATCAGCCGATAGTTATCTACGACTGTCTGCGAGCTCCAGGTATGTTGGAGTTACGTCGAATCGAAGAGTGGTTCTGTTTTCATATCGATGGCTGAGTCTTCTGTTCCTAACGTACGATAAGTAGTCGTGGCAAGTTTATGGGATGAGGAGATTGATCGAGTGGTTAGCTGTGGCCTGGAAGTGGTGCATCATGGACGTACCGTTCATAGACGTACTGTCCTCCTCTCGGCGTTCAAAATTCATTTCAACTTCGGAGGCAGTGAAGCAGTCCGTCCACAGACATCTTAGTCGAGATGGTGAGAGAAACTCCACAAAGACTCATCATCAGCTAACGTTACGCCTCCTCGTCGAAAAGGCTCGAAAACCTCGTGATAGACGAATCATCATCCTCATTTACCAGAGAGTCGTGTGTTCTTTCGGGCAAAAAAAGGCTGGCCTAAACCTGACCTGTAGACAGTCCGTGGGCTGGGCCTGGGCCAAGTAAGGAACCCTATGCTTATTCTCATTCGTTATAAACTACCGGTATTGCTTGAGTTACTTTGAGATTGATGATATTAAGATTCTTAAATATATAGAGACAATAAAAGGAGTGAATGATAAAGTATATCACTACTCCCAAGAAAAGTCTCTTCAGTGGGAGTGTGTCTATTTTCCGCCTCGGAGATGCATGAGGGTGCGATGAAAGAGTCTATTCTCTGTCAGTCTCGCCGTGTCCCTCCGGATAGGCGTGGGACTGCTCATTTCATAAACATCTCAATAGTTCTGGCCCGGAAATGAATCTCAACTTGTACGAAGAGATAGGGGTTCCATATTTCTGTGGATGTGAAGGTAGTGCTTCCGATCGGAGTATCCTGCTACCACGATGGTACCTGGTCCCTGTCACGGGAGCAGGGCTTGGCTAGATGTTGGCTATGTTGGTTAGATGAAGTGATGGAAAGGTCGATTCAATGATGTTAATTGATGGACCAGGAATGAGAAAGTACTCTGAAATCTGGTGGTGTTTATAAATATTAAATTCACGTCCTTGATGAACGTTCAGGGGGCGCATAAATTGAACTGTTTTTGAACGCTCTAAGTTTCGGAAATTTAAACAGTCTATAGAACGTTCCAAAGGACGTTCGGCGGACGTTGCCAGTACCTTAAATGGGACGTTCGTTGAACGTTCATTGATCGTTCCGGTGCTACTTGGGGAGACAAGGGGGAAAGGAGAGTTCATAATACTTGAAATAACATAGTCATTTAAAAAAAAAGGTACGTAGCACAAAAAAAGACTCACCTGCTGACGTGAGGGAAGATAAGAACGGTCAGAGAACTCGAGGTACGTCAAATACTCCAGGTACATGAGGTACATCAAAAGTTTACTTCCGGTCCACAATTAACACGAATGATGGAATCGAAGAGAGCCAATAAATCACAGAATGTCATTCTCGTTCTCATTCTCGTTCTCGTTCTCGATGTTGGTGTCACAGGTCTGTGGGGTGGACGGGGGCTTTTTTCGGTTAGTCATATTCCTCGTACATTGGGTCATCTCGTAGTCCATACCCCGCCCCTGTCCTTGATCTTGACCCTGACCCGAGAGGAGTTTCCGAAGGAAGAGGATCACCTTGCGGAACGCCTTCCGGAAGTTGTCCGAGAGGAAGGCGTAGAGGATGGGGTTCACACAGGAGTTCATGTAGGCGAGGACGTGGCTTACGATCTGTGCCATCACCTTCGCCCAGCTGTTGGTATCGTACTTTCCCAGGCTCTTGAGGACCAGGATGACCTGGATGGGGAGCCAGCAGACGGCGAAGATGGCGACGACGACGACGACGAGCCGCGTGACGCGCTTCTTCCCGCGACGGCTCTCGGCCGACACGTGACCGCTGGGCCCAACCCCTGTCCAGAGCCGATTCAGCATGAACAAGTAGAGGGTGCAGATGAGACCCAGGGGGATCACGTACGAGGTGGCGAAGAAGGAGATCTGAAAGGCCGGCAGGTCCCATTCCAACTCTTTGAAGAGGCATTTCGCCCGCGAATCGTATTTGTGTTCGTAGACGATGATGCCGTGCGCGAAAAGGACCGGCACGCACATCACCAGAATCAAGGCCCATAGAACCACGATCGCAAAGTAGGTGTTTCTCTCGGTTCGGATCGACATCGAGGTGATGGGGTGGACCACGGCCAAGTATCGATCGAATGACATCATGACCAGCGTGTATACGCTGGCATATGCCGTCACGATGACTAAGTACTGGACGATCTTGCACCAGACTTGACCGAAGGGCCATGAGGGCACGGCGTAGTCGGTGGCGGTGAAGGGGACGCAGAAGATGATGAAGAGGAGATCGGCCAGTGCCAGGTTGAAGATGAGGATGTTGGTAGTGCTCCGCATCTGCTGGTTCGCCAGCACCACCAATACCACCAGAGTGTTCCCGATGAAGCCAACCAGGACGGTGATCCCGAACAAGATCGGGACGACGGTCGATACGAACCGCTGCAGGTTCTCGGACAGCTCGAACGAAGTCTCGAAGTCGAAGTGACCGGAGCATATTCGGGAGAGCTGGTTCGAATTCGTTAAGTTTCCCGTCGACATTTTGCTGCATAGGATTTCCTTCAAAGGGGGCGTTAGGAAGTCTGGGGAGCCGTCACATATCGAGGACAAGTTGATAGACGATGTCGCGTTGCACAATCGGCTCGCGATGCTCTGGTCCAGGAACGGAGCCTCCATTATGACAGCCGTCGCTTTGGGATTACGGAAAAGACGACCGCTGTCAGCTGCCGATAGATGGAAGTGAGGGTAGCTGTCACTTTGAGGTAGGCTGAAGTCCGCTTGAGTGGAGGAGATTGGGCTGTCGTTGTGAGTTGCTATGGGTCTCCCTTCATGGGAGGAGACACCCTGCTACCTCACATTCTCGCTTCCCTCCTCAACCTGCCACCTTCCCTCTTACTCTCCTCTCTCTCTCTCTCTCTCTCTCCTCCTACGTTCACATCTGAAACAACCGACAAATATTTTCTATGATGAGTCCCAACACATCCCGCACTCTTCTTTTGTAGCTGCAAGAGAGTCCCTCACGACCTGTCTCCAGACTTCATTAGACGATAATGATCTGATTTTGCATGAACCGTTTTCGCACCTAAAAACCTCCTGCATGGCAAGACGAGAACCTTACCCATCCGACGGTCTCTAAAACCGTGAATCACCCGTCATCCAAGGAAGGGAAAACAGAAAAAAAAGACCTGGGAACATTTCCATTTGGCAGGTTCCCTTGACAAAGCTTACGGATGCATTTTCCGGTTGGAGTACCTGTTTCTCTCTCCATGGAGATGACTTGCATCTTGCTTCCAATCGACCAAAAACAATGTTTCTCGCTCTCCTACAGTACTCCCACTTTTTTCCTTACCATGCATCCCGGGAACTAAAAGGTTGAAAACAGTTCAGACAAAAATAGTTCTGGGGTTATCAGTATTGGAAATCGTCCGAAAAATGTTCCCCTTTCCTCTCATTTTTGTCATTGTACCGTGTATCCCATAAGTCCCATAACCCTCACGGTTTTTTTTTTATTTCAGGTGAATTACAGTAAGGATTTGTGAAGATGGCGGAAGATACGAGTGACCAAAACTCCTTTACATTGTCGAATGAGTCTTCTTAAATGTCACAGTAAATGTAAAAATACATAAATAACTAATTGCATAAGTTTCATTTTGCTACACTATTCTACTTGGAAAAGGTTCAGTGGTAAAGGAACTTACGGGACACCCTGTGAAATGACCCTGACACCCCTTTTACGTGGGGGAGATTTCCCGAAGATGAACTCAACGGTCTCGAGGGCTCTCTCTTCCTCTCTCTTCCGTTGAATTTATTTGCATGCGGCACTAACTTTTGTTTGGTTACGAGTTCGTTATGTCTGTAATGAATTGAGGTCTTCCACGACGCGACAAAGCTTCTGCGATGCCTCTGTATCTGTGCCAAATTCCTCCCGTTCGTTTGAGTCTCTTCTTTCTTTGGAGCCCTATCGATTACGACGGAGCTGCAGTTGTTCTTCCCCGCGAATCGGAGGCCAAAGGAAAGAAAAAACGCCGTCGGACCGATCGAGAGGAGTCGTGCGAGAAAAAATCAGCTTTTCGACGATCGCCCTGCCCTTGACGGCTCCGGAAGCCGGTCTCATTCGCGTCTCTCGATGCGATCGACATGCAAGGATACGTCATATTCGAGGGAAAAAATACCGTCCGCGAGACGTGATGCCGCTTGGATTCCGTCCAAACTCATCTCTTTGTATACGCGAGGCTCGGACCCCATCGCGATCGCTTCGGCCTCTCGATGGCCTCGTCCGTTTCCGATTTTCTCGTCGCGATGCCACGGTCCTTTCGGACACGAAGCGACCGAGGTCGATCGAGTGGAATCTCCGGCGGAAATGCGTCGGCACGGCCCACTCTCGAGACGGAACTCCTCGTTCGAGTCGAGTCCATTTCCCTGCATGCAGACGATCGATCATCTCGATGGCGGTGCGTCCGAACGAGCCCATTTTTCGCTTCCCCTTCCGTGAGCTCTTCGTCGGAAACGGAGCGAAAAGACGACGTTTCCTTCCGGTCGATCCTTCTTCTCTTCGACTCGCGAGCGTCTGCGACGGCGACGTGCGTTCGGATCGTCCCTTTGCATCCGATCCGAACGGAAAGTCACGGACGAGGACGAGACCGACCTCGCGACGAGCCTCTAACGAGAGTTTGGGGTCGCGCGTACGACTCGCACGCGTCACGACGCGATGGGTCGCGTGCACCGGCGGAGGAATCCGATCGGTTTAAAGACGAGATGAACGCATTCGTTCGAACTCGTTCGAGAACTCGTTCGTCTTCGACACGGAACTCCGAAAATCAGATTAGTTTTCGTCAACGCGTTCGTCCGAGACTTAAAGGCGCGTAAAGGCGGTGTGGGTGCACTCGGACGGAGAACGAGGAACATCACGACGTGCCGGCTGTGGCTCCATCGGCTGTGGCTCCATCGTCCGTACCGAGTCGGAGATCATGTCCGCGGAGAGACGAAACCTCGTTCGGAATTCGCGTTCGCCGAACCATCCGAGAGGATCGAGCCGATTCCTGCGACGGTCAAACTGGCGGTTCGGTTCGGGAGAGTCTTAAAAACGTTCATCACTCCGTTAGTTTTCGTTTCCACCGTCGCTCGATGACGAGAGGCAAGAAAACCGAGGCCAGCTGCGACGAGACGGCAAGACGAATCACCTCCGAGAATACGTTTAAAGGGACGAACCTGCCACGGAACGAGTTCGTCTTTGGAGATGGCCGAGGAAGGACATGCACCGAATGCGACATGCACCGATTCCATTCCGTGCATGTCTCCAAATCGGTTTAACGACGAGTTCGACTCGCTCTCGACGCGTTCACCCCCGGATGACGCAATACGCATCGTGACGCATCTTGCGTCATCCGGGGCCAACGTCTTAAACTTATTTGCCTGAAATGAGATCATTCGAACTCTAAACCGATGCGGTGCGAGTCGCTCGATATACTATCGGTCCCACGATCACGTATTCGTCCTCACGTGATCGTGTTTCCGGATGATGTTCCCCGAGTCGAATGCAAAGGTGCACGCGTACGACGGATCGGTGGAAATGCGCCATCGATCGAAGACGCGTGGCCGATCGAAAGCGTGGAGGAAACGCGGACGACTCTCTCGCCGGAACGCGCGTGAACTCACGGAACGGGTACGCGATCGCGGGACGCGTCGCATACCGGCAGGCGAAAGCCAACCGACCGTTTTCTCGCGTCGCCATTTCTTCCACGGACGAAGGGAAGGACGGAATCCGCCGATCCGTGCGTCGTTCCACGCGTGCCAAGTTTCGCACGCAACGCGGTCCGCTTCGACGCGGCGCGACCGTGCCGAAACTCGGTCGGACCACCGACCGTGGATCGGCATCGAAGACTCGAGCGGTGGACTCGGATCTATCGATAGTTGATCTTTTTCACATCCGTATCTTAACTTTACGCATACACCGTACACGATCGGACGGGTCGTCCTTCGTCGAACTGCAGCTCGAAAACGTCATTCGTATCGAAACGAGAGCATCGGTCCGCCGAAAGTCTGGTTTCTTACGATTATTTTCACTCCGTATTCTATTCCGCTCTAAAGAAGGTCACCGTAAATAAGGTCGGTTTAAGTAAAATTCCCTTTTGAGGTCTATTAAACGAATCATTTGGTGTAAAGTTTCCTTCTTCACACCTAGAAAATGCACCCACTGGGAAGGACTTCCTTTTTCTTTCCACCAAACCACGTGCTGTATTCTTCACTTTTTTTTTGCGAAAAGCGAACGACATTTTATTTCGGCACACATTTCCGACTGCTCGCATTTGAATAAGAATTTAATGTTCGAGTACAGCAAAGGACACCTTTTCGAATGGTGTATTTTTCGTGAGATCCAGGCGAGGAACCACGGCTCCGAGACTCCAAGCCGATAGATAACGTGGCATCGATGACGCATAACACGGGGGGGGGGAATAAAAAATAACCTTTCCAAGTTCGATCGACTGGTCTCATTTCGAATGTCTCACAGAATAGTGTCGATCGGAAAAGTTTATCGAAACTCGGCGCGGTGACCGAATGTATGCTATTTGGTTGGTGAGGACTGCTGATGGAAGCTCGTCTGTGTCTCGTTTTGGGTTCCACACTATCGTCATTTCGAAATCGTCTGCGCCGACAAGTTTTAGTCGTGCGAGTACGAAGGTGCTTCAGACACGAACGAGACCGAATTTTTTATCGAAAAATTACGTTCCAGGTATCGGACTAGTAACTGCGGAGCGAGGGACTGGCAACCTCGCTCGACGCGTTCACGAAGGCGCATTTCCGTGACGTCATCATCGCCGACGCATTACCAGCCCAGTACCTGCAATGTAATTTTCAATAATATCAATAATGAGAAAACTCAGACTCGTTCGTATTTGAAGCACCCTCGTACTCGTCACGAGCCGAACGCTTTTTAGAACTATCTCCTTCGGCCGGCGACGGTCCGTCGCGAGCCGAGCGTCACGACGAATCGACGGGCATCGATCGCAAACGACACGACGACGGAGCCACGACCCGAATCCAGACTCGATCGTCTTCTCCGAAAAATTCCCCCCTTCTCGCGTATCGCACGGCCGGAAAGAGGAGTTCGGATGTCGTTCGCCATCGCCACGGGGACGGGAAATCCCACGGGCGTGCAGACCGACCGAAAGGTCGGCTTTCCAGGGCAGGGTCGGCTTTCCGACGGTCCCCGTTTCTTTCCTCTTCCTCGAGCCCTCGAAAAGCTCCGACGGAAGAACTCCGGTCCGAGCGTCGAAACCTCTTTCGGTCGAAGGTCCTTCGCGAAAGCGTAGCATCCCAAGGGGGAAAAGAAGCTCTTCGGCTTAAAGGCCCCCTTTATCTCGCCTAAATGAGGTTTCGGCATTCCCACCGCAGTCTTTGCTTTAGCCCGTGATGAAGAAAAGTGCGATTCGAAAAGAGCACACATTCGGCGAACCCTGTTAGCCCTTTCTGCTGGGGAGAAGGACCCGAGCAGCCGGACTCCAAACGACCGGTCTCCCAACGACCGGGCTCCAACGGTTAGCCTCTTCCCTTTCCGTGCTTTCCATCCTTATGCTTTCTCGTCCGACGAATCCTACGAGTTCGTCCCAACGGCAAAAACAGCCGATTGCCTCACTCGCCGAAGCGAATCCACCGACTACGACTCCCCGAACGTTCGA